ATAACGACGATGATGATAGCAACACCATTAATGATAATAATAATGATAATAACAATGATAAAAGTAATGATAATAATGGTGGCAATACTATAAGTAATTCTAATAGTAGTAATGATAGTGCTAATGATGATAAAGATAAAAGTAATGATAATGATAAAACAGAAACAATGATAATAATACAATGATTAACAAATAATGAAAATGATAATGATGATAATGAAAATAAATAATGATAGTGAACATGAAAATAATAATGGTGATGATGATGATGATGATTATTATGATAATAATAATTATAATGATAATGATAATGATAATGATAATAATGATGTTAATGATAACATTGATAATAAAAAACAAAATGATGATAATAATAATAATGATAATAATACTACTAATGATAATGCTACTACTACTACTAATGATAATACTATTACTACTAATGATAATAATGTAATAATAAGTAATAATAATAATAATAATAATAATAATAATAATAATAACGATAATAATAATAACAATAGTAAGGATAATAATAAACGTGTTGATATCAATGATATTAATAATGATAATAGTCATAAAACTACTACTACTACTACTACTACTGCTAATGATTATGATAGTAATAATGATAATAATAATGATGATAATAGTAATAGTAATAGTGATAATGATGATGATGATAATAATAATGATAATATTGATAATGGCAATAATAATGATAATGATAATGATATTACCATTATTACTATTGGTAGTGGGAGTAAGGATAGTAATAACAACAGTAATAATAATGATAAGGATAATGATAATAATGATGATTATAATATCGGTAGTGATAGTGATTGTGATAATGATAATAATAATAACAATAAAGAGAGTAATGAAAATAATGATAATGATAACAAAAATAAAAGCTCCAAAAATAATAAAGATAACAATGATAACAATAACAACAATGATAATGATAATAATGACAATCGTGATAATGATGATAATAATATTGAATAATAGGTAATGATAATAATAATGAAAATGTGGATAATGATAATAATGATAATGGTAATGATAATAATGATAATGATAATAGAAACTGTAATGATAATAATGATAATGATAATAGAAACTGTAATAATAATAATGATAATGATATTAATAACAACAATGATAATGGTCATGGTATTTATAATGATATGATAATAGTAATGATAATGATGATAACAATGATAATGATGATAGATAATGATAAGTATATTGGTAATGATAAAGATATTGGTAATTATGAAAATGTTAACGATAATGTCCATAATTATATTGATGATAATGATAATGTCCATAATTATATTGATGATAATGATAAAGATAATAATGATATTAAAAATGATTATGATAAAAATAGCAATAATGCTATTAGTAATGATAATAATGTGAACGTAGTGATGGTAATAGTAATAATGATAATGATAGTAACACTAATAATGATATAAAGATATAATAAAAGTAATGATAATAATGATGATGATAATAATAATGATTGTGATATGGATAATATAATAATAATAATAATAATAATAATAATAATAATAATAATAATAATAATAATAATAATAATGATAATAATAATAATAATAATAATAATAATGATAATAATGATAATGATAATGATAATGATAATAATAATAATGATAATAATAATGATAACAATAATGATAAGGATAATTATGATAATGATAATGTCAATAATGATGATAATACCAATAATACTAATAGTAATGATAATGATAATGGTGATGATATTAATAACAACAATAACAGTAGTAACGATAATAATAATAATAATGATAATGATAATGATAATAACAATAGTAGTAACAATAACAGTAATAATAATAATGATAATGATAATGATAATAACAATAGTAGTAACAATAACAGTAATAATAATAATGATAGTAATAATAACGATGATACTACTACTAATAGTGATAGGAATATCAACAATGTTAATAACAATGATAATAATAATAATGATAACAATAATGGCAATAATAATAGCACCAACAACAGTAACAATAACAGCAAAAAAAAGTCAGTAGTGATAATAGTAATAATAATGATAATAATGATTATGATAATAATAATAATAATAATGATATTGATAATAATGATGATTATAATAATGATTATAATGATAGCAAGAGTAAGGATAATAATAATAATGATAATGATAACGATCGTAATAGTAATGATAATGATAATTATAATGATAATAACAACTATAATAATTATAACGAAAACGATAATATTGATAATAATAAGGCTAATGATAATCATAATAATAATACCAATGATCATGATAACAATCATCAGGTTCTATTGATAATATCATTTATGATAATAATGATAACAATAAGAATAACAAAAGCTGAAAAACAAAAAAACAGAACAAAACAAAGTTAATGATAATAAGAATGGTAATAATAACAATAATTATGATAATGATATCAATGATACTAATAATTATGATGAGGGTGATGATAATGATAATAATGATAATAAAAATGATGATAACAACAACAAGAAGCACTCAGAGAGTACATACCTCCGCCAAGGCAACCGGATGGGATAAAAATCTTCCCACTTGAAGAATTACATAAATATCATCACTTTCTCAAATGCACTGGTGACGTCTGTGTTTCCCCATCTCTTCATGATCATAAATCCTTTAATAAATTCTTAATCCGAGTCATGATCATGGGCTAAGAAAGACCTCTTGGAGAAAAAAAATCTGTTAATAACACTTTGAGTTGTCCTGTTA